GCCTCTGACCAGGGTTGCTACCAGTCGGCCATCTTCCCAGAATCCTCCACTACTGCTTCTCTTGACTGTTCGGTCAAATCTCCTGATGAAACACGTCTCTGATAGTTTGCTTCATTTTCTTTCCTCTTTGCTGTCCTCAAACTCACTCAAGTCAGGTTTTGAGTCCATCGTTGGACTAGCATTGAGCTTGTTGATGTCACCAGTAACTTTGATTTGCTAAATTACCCCATAACCAACTTTGAGTCTTTATCTTGATTGACCTAGCAGTATTTGATAAGAATTGTTCACTTTCTCCTTGAAAAAGTTCTTTGGATTTGTGTCCAGATCAGCAGCATTCTGGAATCTTCCATCTTCCTGAACGTTTCTTTCCAGCCTTGTTTGCTGAGCCAGCCAGACTTCTTTCTCTTCCATCCACACTCACAAAGTGCCTTTAAATATACATATATTTTGGCTAATCCAATTTATATCTTTAGCACATTCCTCTCACCTCAATGCCTAAGTGTTGGGCTTCTTAATGCAATTGCCCACTTCACTTTTCCATCTGAGTGTCAAGTAAGCATCTCAGATTTAAAAGAGTTGAATAACCATCCCCACCTCTCCAGACCCATTTGTCCTACAGTGTTGTACATCACAGAGGTTGGTGTAAGTTCATCCCTCTGGGTGCTCAGGCAGTGATCCTTGAGTTGGTCCTTATTTCCTCCTTTTTTCTTTTCTGCTCTTCAAATAAGTCCATCAGCAGAATCTGTCAGCTCTCCTAGAAATGTGAATCCAAAATGTTCATCACCTCCATGAGCCAAGCGCTATAAAAATCCTGCCTCAGTTCCTGATTGATTTTCCCATTTCTGCCTTTGCCCTGTGAGAAGTTGATCATCCCGTGCACCCACCCGTGGTCCTTCCCTGCTCTCATCCCTGACATGATGCCTTGTTCATTTCTCCCCAGCGAGAGCATGCGAGCGTCTCTCCTGTTTAGTGGCCTTTGCCCCCGGCGTTTGCTCAGGTGGAGATGACTGTCTTCCTGTCCCTTCTTACTGAGTGTTGGAATGCTCACAGCAGCCCCGTACTGCTGCCCTTTTTTGTTTTTCTCCAGAGTCTTTATCGCCTTTCACATTGTGTCCTATTTTCTTACTTGTTCTTCATCTGTCTCCTTCCACTGACTGCAGGTCACGGGGGCAGAGATATCTGCGTGTGTGTGTGTGTTTTCACCTTTCCACCTCCAGTGACTGGCACGGGGGCACACAAGCATACTCTAATTGGCTCACATCTGTAATCCTAGCACTCTGGGAGGCGGAGGCCAGTTGATTGCTTGAGTTCAGGAGTTGAAGACCATCTCCAAAAATAGCTGGGTATGGTGGTGGGTGCCTGTAGTCCCAACTATTCCAGAGGCTGAGGCAGGAGGATTGCTTTAGCCCAAGAGTTCGAGGTTCCTATAAGTTGGGATGCCATGGCACTCTACTGATGGTGACAAAGTGAGACTTTATCTAAAAAAAAAAAAAGACAGAAAATTGGTTAATGAATGATAAAGTGTTGCTTTGGGGTAAGTTATTAATTTCTTAAACATTATAGTTATAGATTTAAAGAAAAACATATAAACCTGATAAGTGTATGAACATGAGAGACTATATATACGTACAGTGAAAAGTAAGTCTATGCCTTACCCTCATCTCATGTTGTTGAATTCCAAAAATGACGTATGTGTATACTGGCACGTGTCTTCAAAAAGGAGTGCACTGGCCTATACAGGACCGTTCAAGCTGTTTCTTGTCTTGGAGATCCTTCTGCATCATTACACGTGTTATACATTTACATATATTATACAATAATGTATACTGACCAACCATGAGGATCTCTTGTATATATTGCATAAAGAGCAACGTATAGGACTGTGTGTACGCGGTCCTTTAAAGCGTGTGTATGTATAGGCACATGTATATACCAGTACGTCACTGTTTCTCCTGTCTGAGTTTCAAGTCAGTGTTTGACTAAGATTATTTTCTTCTTTTCCAGTGCCCACTGTTGATGTCTTTCAGATTTCCACAAAAGAACGGTTTGGATTGGGACATCAGCTAAAAAAGTAAGTTTTTCAAAGTGTAAAAAACGTAAATTTCTGCTGAAGAGACCCGAGTTATTGTTTTGCTTGCTTTTAAGAACTGTTTATTTAACAGCTTCCTGAAGTAAGTGCCTCAGGAGAGGAGATGGACCTGAGGTTAAGAGCTGCGCTGATAATTTAATTAGCAAAGCTCACCGAGGCGTCCGGGCCAGAGCCCTTCTGTTTGCCGCCCCAGATGCCCTCCCTTCCCTTTGATGCCCAGCACTCTATTTGGGGAGGCTGGCCTTTGTGGACCTTGGCTCCTGGGTCTCTGGACCCCTGATGTGAGTACTAGTCACACGATTAGTCACATCAGGGGTCTAGAGGGAGAGAAGAGAATAAGATGGGAGGACTTCCTGTCATGTTTTCCTCTCTAGTAGGTGGTCTGGAGCTGACTTCAGCTGAAGCTTCCTGCTTCTGTCCCAGGCTGCAGGCTTTGCATGACTCTCTCTGTGTTCTCTTGATGGTTCCACCTGCTTGTTCCTTAGGACCTCGAGGTGGCAACAGCTACTGGCCTTGGGTCACTGCACTATCCTACTTCACATGTCCACCTCTTTCAGACACTCCTGGTATAAATAGACTCTTCGTTTCCTGTTTGGACCTTGACTCATACAGTGACTTGGTTTGTCCCTTATAAATTGACTTGATTCTTCGAAAATTATATATATATATATAAAAAATTAATTTGCATTGACAGATACATTCTTTAGTATGTCATTATTACCCCATATGGCACTGCATTTATGTAGTCTCTAGGATTCTGGCACACTTTGGTATTTTTAATAGACTTGAGATAGAAATAAATGATAATAGGTTTTGAGCATCAGGAGGAGATGAATGATGCCCTTGTGTATTGCCTCATAAAATCTCACAGAGGCTTATTCATAGATTTTCTGCTGTTCAACTCTTAATTTGCTTTTGTGTTCTGGTCTTTAAGTCTATTTTATGTAAAAATCTATTTTTTAGAAACAAAAACTAAATACTAATAGAGCCAGATACAATGAAAGCAGAAAGAAATTGCATCTTAGAGTAGAAAAAGAACACAGATGGGGGCGCCTGTGGCTCAAGGAGCAGGGCGCCGGCCCCATATACCATGGGTGGCGGGTTTAATCCCAGCCCTGGCCAAAACTGCTAAAAAAAAAACAAAAGAAAAGAAAAATGGATGAATTAGAGAATAAGAACTTCCTTTAACCTTTTTTTTTTTTTTTTTTTTTTAAATTAAGTGATCCCCAGTATGAGCCAAGGCATAGACCTTAAGGGTCCATGGGTCTGTGGTTTGGTATGGATCCAGAGAGCTTGTTGTGGCTTTCCTTGAGGAAAATAATGATGTTGTCTTCCTGTTTTCCTTCGGTGACCTTCCACGCAGAGGGAATGTGGCTTTGTCCTCAGACATAGAGTCTAAATTGGGCCTCAGCCTTTAGTAACCAACCCCAAGGTCAAACTGACTTTTAAAACATAGGCATGTGCCTCAATTAGGCATGGTTAGAATGTAGACAATAGATTCTATGGTTGTCCAAATATCTGCTGTAAGAATTTGTGTTTATGGAGAATCCCGAAAAATTATTTATTCTTCTGAATCTGCTAATTTAACTTAAATGTAGATTCATCAAGAGACACCATTAGATAACTGTGTACGTAGAGATGGGGGTTAGGCCCCTCACGAAGGTGTGGACGACATGTTTGCTTTCATTTTAATGACTTGCAGTTTGCCATCCTACGTTGACCTTTATTGAGCAATAGTCTAAGAGAAAACACATTGCAATTATCTATCTTATTTTCTAAATAGAGAACTTTGGCTCGGCGCCTGTGGCTCAAGCGACTAAGGCCCCAGCCACATACACCTAAGGTGGCGGGTTTGAATCCCCAGCCCGGGCCCGCCAAACAACAATGATGGCTGCAACCAAAAAAAATAGCCAGGCGTTGTGGCGGGCGCCTGTAGTCCCAGCTGCTTGGGAGGTGGAGGCAGGAGACTCGCTTGAGCCCAGGAGTTGGAGGTTGCTGTGAGCTTTGATGCCACCGGCACTCTACCCAGGGGGATAGCTTGAGGCTCTGTCTCCCCCCCCCCAAAAAAAAAATAAATAAATAGAGAACTTATTGAGGTCATTTTATGTGCTATCTAGGGTCATCTGTGCCCTGGAGCGCTAGAATGGTTTTGAGCTTTTATGACCTTAAGTTGAGTCAGCAATGCTCAGATGTGGGTTGTGTGTAGACCACATTTGAAAGAAAAAAAGATCTTGTAAATTCCTAGTATTGGATTTAAAGATGTGCAAATACAAAATTAGGCAATAAACCTTTAATGTTTATAATTCTGCCTCTCTAAAACTAAACTCAATTTACATTGTACGTTTAGCTGATTATATTATGTAGTACTCACTTAACAAGGACTCACAGGAGAAATTTTCCCAGTTTTCTGTTCCAGGATTAGATAAGCTCTCCCAGGGCAGTTGTTTTCTGTTGTTTGTATGTTTGTTTTCATTGGATTTTACGTATTTCCTGCACGTAACACATCTTGGAAGGGTTCATGGAGCCTGCTTCTGCATTACGCCATCCAACTTGGGTACCACCTGATCTTGGCACATTTTTTTCCTGTGATTTTCCCCTCTCCAATTTCCTGTCTTGTTTTTAGGCTGTTCGGCTTTACGTACTTTTGTATGCCACTTAAGAGCTTTTTTGAAAAGGTCTGATGGGGTTGATCAAAACAAGAGTTACAAAAGCCAAAAAGTCTAGGAATAAATAGCTTTCCACAATTCATGGCTTCTAAATACATCATAGGGGCGCAGAAAAAGAAATTATTTATATCATTTTAATCCTGACAAATTAAAGAAGGCTATAAGCTGTGTTCACTGTTTAAGTACCAAGTAGAATATGTAATATATATATATATATATGTAATTTATAGTCCCAATCAAATGATGAATGCTTTTGAAAAGTTACTTTCTTTTAGGGAGACATTTTAGCTATATGGAAAATTGGTTAATATGGACTAGAATTACTTTTAGATGATTCTGATATACTTAAGTTTCCTCAATTTAAGCATTTTTAGTTGTGATCCGTAGGTCCTTTTCAGTCTAAAACTACGTAATTTAAGAAATTTGATTTCATCCTCACATTAATTTGTAAGAAGAAACTAAAATATAAAGAGCTTATTTTCCCAACAACATACAGTACGTTAGGAAGGCAGGAGTCTAGAATCTAGACCTTTTGTTACTGATTACGTATGTTTTCTGTAAATAAGAGACACCCTTTATGCAGTTTGTTGTTCTTTATTCTGGCGTGTTTGGGGTAGAAGTGTAGTCTGAACAATGCCAACAGCAAATACTTATGCCATGCTCATTATGTCAGGCACTTAGAATGGGGCCCCATGTGTACTAAGTCACTGAATCTTTACAGGGACTGTATCAAGCAGATGTTACTCTCACAGTCCTAGAGAGGTGGAGCAACTCGCTTAAGCCGAAGAGCAAGAAAATGATGGAGCCAGAGTTTGACTCCAGGACGATACTTTTGATCTGCCCACTACATTAATCTGTCTTTTGTATAATCCTAGATAACCTTTTCCTTAAATCATACATGAATGTATGTTTGACATTGAACGAATATTGAGAGAATGTGAAGTCAATAGAGCAAAAAGCATTTGCATGTTTTCTCCTAGCTGACCTGAAACAGATGCAGTGGTCAGTATCATTCAGGGTGTCTGTCATTCAAAGGGTGAGCGTATCTTAGACATCTGAAATAATCTTGAATTTAGATCAAGTTTGTGTTCAAAGGGGGGGGAAATATACCACAGATCTCCAGTTTTCCATTAAATATGTACAACATAAAATTAGGTATCAGTCTTTCTATGTGGAGTTCCACATATATAAAACCAAATTCCATATACAACTTAAGGTCAAATCAAAATAAAAGACTTAAATTCAAACGAATACCATTAATTCAATCTGATGGAGGATGCTTTGCTGAAGCCGTTTTGCTCCTACAGTTCGAATATAATACTGGCAGCTCCATTGCATGTCCTTTTAAAGTAAGCATGAAGAAGATCATGATGCCATTCACATAAATTTGACTTTCTCTATTTTAAACCGGCCTGGAAGCTTTATTTGTATAGCTGGCTGTGACACCATCTGCTCGTCACTTGGCATAAATGTGTAGTTTATCCTGAAATCTTACTTTTCTTTTTATTGTCAGCCCAATGGCAATGGTAGTGGTTCTTTGTGCCAGCACAACAGCCAGTGCGACGCAGATGTGAATACTGAAATCTCTCAGTGGCTCTGTTGCCAAGAGGTGGTCATTATACCACTTGTTCATATGTATACTTTAGATTACATAAATTAATTAATCTAAAGCTACAAATTAAACCCAGCATTAAATGTCTTATAAATTAACACCTTTTGTATCCAAGAATGTCTAGGAACCTGGATGCCAAGTTAGGAATTACTGAGTTTAGATGTTGAAAGTCACACTTTAGAATGTTCATATCCTGTGAAAGTGGGAACATTTTCCCATGTTGACCTGGTACCCTTAGTTTTGTTGTTGTTGTTGTTCCAGTTAACTTATCAAGATTAGGCAAACCAGTTCACACGGAATGGTGCATAGGAATAGCAAGTTTTTGTAGGAAGAAAATCTGACTGCTTGGTTCCAAGGGCGGTGTCAATGGAGTTTTCAGTTTAGGTACAGGGAGAGGTGATGATTCTAATATTACGATTACATTTTAATTCTACTGAAATGGTGGGTTGAATAAAAACTACAGACATAAAACATATAATAAAAAACTCCCCTTACCCTGAGCTCTCAGCAGATGCACTGCAGGTTGGGAATCACGGCTTTACCCGTGGTGGTTTTACTTCTTTTTTGTCACCACCCCGACTGCTCAAAGGACCCCAGATAATTCTGTGCGTGACTGTTCGTTCTTCTGAACCCATCAAAGCTAGCAGAAGAAAGCTTGGAGTAGAAAAGTGAAGAGATACACTTGTTGGCAACATGAGTTAGTTTTTTTATAATAAGGAATTTAATAATTGGCCTCGTACTAAGAGTCACATCTGTCCCTTTTGAGTAACATGCATTGTGCACGTGAAAACCCTTGTTTGACCATATGCACACTGCCATTCTGTAACCGTTATCCAGGCTAACTGGGGCAGACCTCATTCCTCCATTTGTGAAATGTGCAGATTAATTGCTTACTTGCGGGAGGGTTCTCTGTAAATTTAAGAGTTCTTCGGGAGGGTTCTCTGTAATGGTACCTCTAAAACTCCTGGTGTGCTCCCTGCCATATTGTTTACTAGAAAACAAATGTTGGCACTAGTTTTCTATCGAAAAGTGATCTGTGTTAGAAATAACTGAAAAGAGCATGAAAAACAGACAGTGCAGAAGGGATTTTTGAAAAGAAAACCAAAATGTTCAATTTATTGTACACTTAATGTTTGCCTGAAAATTTTCATGTCTACTTAAATATCAGCGTAGGGGGATCTACTTGTCCTGCCCCTTGTAAGGTGGGATGCAAAAAAGCCACCCCAGCCTGAGACCTTGTACAAGGTCAAGGCTCTGTTGAAGTTCACAGTTGACTTTCCACAGTTCTTTACCATAAACCAATGATGAAGTAATCTTGACATAGAAAATCCTGACATTTGAGAGTTACCAAATTCCTACCTTATGATGGTAACTAAAAATTTTAAGAATAGACAAAGTTTCTAAAACAGCATATTTAAAGGTAGATGGGCTGGACTAAAGACACAGTTTGCTGACCACATTTCTACATGAAGCCAATTTTGCACAATTTATTTATTTATTTATTTATTTATTATTCTTTTTTATTTTTACATATACATGTGATTATTAGGTTTCCACTTTTTGCCTTCACAGAATTGCACCAGCCCCTTATACCGAGAGTGGCAGGTTCAAACCTAGCCCCGGCCAAACTACAAGGAAAAAAATAGCCAGGTGTTGTGGCGAGCGCCTGTAGTCCCAGCTACTTGGGAGGCTGAAGCAAGAGAATCACCTAAGCCCAAGAGCTAGAGGTTGTTGTGAGCTGTGACTCCATGGCAACTCTACCGAGGGCAACAAAGTGAGACTCTGTCTCAAAAAAAAAAAAGAAAGGCTTAAAATTTAACAACAATAACAATGCTTAAGATAAGGACCAGAAACAAAAACCTTGTAAAGAATGAATGAAGATAATAAATACATTCAGATAAAAAATCAGACGACTGTTTCAAGGAAGTATTAAGCAATAATAATAATAGTATTGCCAAGAAAGTGACATTCACAAAAAACATTCTAATTTTTGAGATTTTGGAAAAATAAACAATAAGTTAATTGATGACTCTATGCTGAACCTCAAAGTATTCTATAATAGTCATGCTCTCATTTGACAGTGTGCGTGATTTATTTTTATATGTGATTTCACAGTTTTACTTTGTCTTCCTTTTCATGAAGAAAAATCCAGAAGCACATTAAGTAACAAGAAGTTGGCTTTACTTGTATCTTAATAAATAACGCCATAGGTCAGAAGTTAGCTTAATTAAAAGCTGATATTCAAGCTATACATAGCTTTTATAAAAGATTGCATATCAGCTTTTAATTATTATCCATTTACTAAACTGGACCTATGTTGTCCAGTTGGAAAAAAGAGACTAAATTAAAAGTCATTTATCTGAGTGAAAAAAATAAGTAAATAAATAACACCATAATCAGTAACACCAAAAAATTGTATATCCAACATCAACAGAAGAATTTGGACTTTTTTTTTTGCTACTCCAGATAAAGTTGTTGATCCTGAAGGCCGCCCTTATAATTCTCTGGGTATCCTCCTGGCTCTTCCATCACTTCTTCTATCATGTGATTATTACTTAAATCAAGTTAGACTATAATTTAATTATTTTAATAATTAGCAATTATTATTATTTCCTGCGACCTGATTAGTCACAGTAAAGGCCTGGTATAATTCCATGTGTGATGCTTGCCTTCATGTGAAAAATCTCATGTGTTTATTTCCCTTTGATAAATGCATTCTCTACCTACTGAATACAGAAATATTAATTGAAATGACCTTGGACCATGATAACAGAATTGCCTTTGGGTTGACAGAATCATGCAGACATTTGTGACACAGCAGTGGAAACAGAGCAAAGAAAAATCCAATTGCCTGCACAACAAGAAGTTGTCAGAGAAGAAAGTGAAGTCTCCCCTGCACTTGTTTTCTACTTTGCGCAGGTTGGTAACAGGCAGTTGCATCATTGTCTCGCCAAATGTGGGGCCTGGAGACTCCATGCTTAGAACATTCTTTCTATAATCTTGGCATCTACTTACTATGACTTCAAAGAAAGGACAGATTTTCATACATTCTATCAAAAGATACTCTTTTCTACAGTTAGAGTTTTTATTTCTTTAACATTTGGTTACATGTACTCAAATTACATTCTTTGTTTCTAATTGCATAGAATTTCCTCTAACACACTTAGTTCCAGTAGGGTTCTGGGATGGGGGGGAGGGGAATTCTGTATTTTTTTTTTCCTTCCTCTTTGCATTTCAGGAAAAATGGGATTCAAGGGCCTTGATCATTCTGCAGATACTTTTGATTTCAGTGTTAACTGGGTAGGCTGTATTAAAATGAGGTGGTATCAGCACAGTTGAGTTTCAGCATGACAAGTGGTGTCTGTGGCCTTTTAAGGCCATGATTTGCCCTGTATTAATTGTTGTTCAATTTTGAAGGTCGCCAAGTTATCCTCCCCCGGGGTGTGGGAAAAGTAAATCGAAACTGAAATCTGAGCAAGATGGAATCTCCAAAACGCATAAGCTGCTGCGGAGGACTTGCTCCAGCACGGTCAAGGCGGACGACACGTGCCCCGCAAAGTCGCACAGGACTTTCGGTCGCTCGCTGTCCAGTGATCCCAGGGCTGAGCAGGCGATGACAACCATTAAATCACACAAACTCTTGAACCGTTCCTGCTCTGCGGCTGTTAAGCAAGAGGACTGCCTCACTCTAAAGTCCCATAAACTATTGACTCGATCTTGTTCTGGAGATCCACGCTGTGAGCACAACACCAGCCTCAAGCCCCACAAACTGTTAAGCAGGTCTTACTCCAGTAATCTCAGAATGGAAGAATTATACGGACTGAAAAATCACAAATTGCTCAGCAAGTCCTACTCCAGTGCCCCCAAGTCATCCAAAACTGAGCTTTTCAAGGAACCTACTGCAGAGGGCAGGAGGCTCTCTCTTACCTCAGGGCTTATTGGTATCTTAACACCATCTTCATCTTCATCTTCCCAGCCTGCTGTGCGTAAATATTTTCATCTTGAGTTCTTACATATTAGCTAAGGTGCAGTAGAATATTTTTGGAGGGGTCAGATCTGATGGAAGAAAGCAGCAGGCCTGGTTTTCTGTTCGTTGTCTGTTGTAATCTACTTTTTTCCTTTGTGATACTGTTTGCCACACCAGACGTTTGCAACCAGCACAGAAATGTCAGTTTTGATTCTGAAAAAATCAATGTAGCCATTTACTGGAGAGCCAGTCCAAATTTCCACCATGGTAATGAGGTAACGAACGCTCCTAAAAAGGAAAATAAGTCAATTGGATTCACAAAACCTTTCCTTCCAAGCAAGCATGTAATTTAAAAGTTTCATTAAGCAGGTGCATCTAATCTCTGTTTTTCTCACATGAGTACTGCAGGACCATGTTTTTCTTGTATTAAGAGTAATCTTCCGTAGCCAGGCGTTGTGGCAGCGCCTGATGTCCCAGCTACTGTCGAGGCTGAGGTAGGAGGATCGCTTGAACCCGGGAGTTTGAGGTTCCTGTGAGCTAGGCTGATACCACGGCACTCTATTCTGGGCAAAGGAGTGACACTCTATCTCAAATGTAAATAAATAGTAATCTTTCAGTTTTTAGGGTATCCCAGAAGTAGCCCTTAAAGTCACTATACATAGAGAAAATGAGATATTGTAACTAAATGTATCTTCACTCACAAAATATTCCTTGCAGAGTTTTACCAAACATTTACAAAATCTTCTCTACCTGTTGGCCACTACTTTGTAGAATTAGGTAATGAATATTTTGTAGCTAAAGGTACATTTAGATACAACTTCCCCTTCTCCTTATGTATGGCGACTGGGGGCAACTTCTGGGACACCGTGCATGTGAGAGAACTTTGCCTGTGCGTCCTGTTAACTGTGGAGAGAACTCGCATCCCAGCTGCGTTCCAGAGCCTCCCTTGAAGTGGTTCTTAGTGTGCACTATATACTGAAGCTGTTTCTGGAAACATGGGCCAGGAAGTGACTGTATTAATAACTCCTTTTAGTGGTATTTGTTAGGATCAGGATTGCACAAAATTTATCACTAAGTGATTGGCATTAGAGCTAATTTCAGATGACGAACTAGGCCTTTGTTACGTATATTATTTGCATATTCAAAATAATTGATAAAAGTTTTTGTTTCCTTTTACTAAATGTATGTGTGCGTGTTGGAGGTACATATTTGTCTCTAACCATTAATATGGTTATACTCAACAACAGATGAAAAAATGATACTGCTTTCCAACAGTGATGTTACTCTTTTTTATTCTCACTGTGTCGCCCTTGGTAGAGTGCTGTGACATCACAGCTCACAGCAACCTCAAATTCTTGGGCTTAAGAGATTTTTTTTCTTGCCTCAGCCTCCCAAGTAGGTAGGACCACAGGTGCCCACCACAATGCCCAGTTATTTTCTGGTTGTAGTTGTCATTTGTTTGATTTTTTTTTTTTTTTTAGCAATGCTGGGCTGGGTTTGCACTCACCAGCCCCAGTGTATGTAGCCGGCACCCTAGCCACTGAGCTACAGGCGCCGAGCCAGCATGTTGATAATTTTAGGTGACAATCCTGCTTATACTCAAAGATAAGCTGTAGGACATGGAGAAAATAATGTTGAACAATTACATAATGAAATGTTCCCTGTGATAGCTTCACCCACGAAAGATAATTTCAGATATTCTGTAAAAGAAAGTGTCTTAATGTCGTCTCCTATGGCTGGGCAAATACATAGTTTGGTTTTGTGCCACTCTCAGTAGCTGCCTTGGATTTCCTTGGAGGAATAATTTCAGCTGATTGTAAAATAAGATTGAAGTCCTCTTGTGAAGAGGAATGAGCATTGCCAATGAGTAACAAAGGGGATGACTTTCTATGTTCATGGAAAGATGACTTAATGCATATTTGGTGTACTCAGGAAGATCACTTTTGTATTCACTGTTGCAAAAAGTAAAAGGCCGTAATTTATACATTTTTCAAATTAAAAGGCTATTTTTTTACTTTGCTTTTTTTTTTTTTTTTTATAGCCAAATGGTGCAAAATGCATTCCAATACGAGACCGTGGCTTCCTAGTGCAGGTATGAGCCGTAACCCTGTCCACTGTAGAAATATGTTCAAATCATTTATGAACTCGACTTAATCCTTTCTCCTTATTTCATTCAGACAATTGAGTTTGCTGAACAGCGGATCCCTGTATTGAATGAGTACTGTGTGGTTTGTGATGAGCCGCACGTGTTTCAGAATGGCCCCATGCTTAGGGTAAGTTCCTGTTGGTGGAATGATAGGGTTGACTTAGAATATAAATGACAAGGTTGGAAACACAAAAATTAAAAAGAAGATAAATGCAATTTAAAGTAAATGCTGTCTTTTGGGCAAATTATTTAACACATTAAGTGGCATAGTTTTTAAAAAAATGAGTTAGTATTCTGAATGGGTCTGTGAAAAAGCAAGTAGTTTAATGTTAGGAAAGTACTTCTTGTTATGTTTCTTGCGTTTTACCTAACAGCTGTCTACCTACACCTACGAACATTTAAATTGTGGAGTTTTGAAGAAACAGTGTTTACAGGTTTATGTCACAAAGATGCTTTATCAGTATTTCTCCAAAACTTCACAATTTAAGATGCTCACTAAAGAGAGGCGCGTCTGGGCCCCAAGGCAGTTAGAAGAGGGACACAGTAGCATCAGGAAAATCAGAATACAAACTTCCCACAATGCCAGCTTCTTGACAAATCAGAATATTATCAAGGGAATATGAAAATGATCATTGTGAACATGTGTCAGGGAGAATTATTCAAAAGTTTTCATTTTTGAAAAAGTTTTTTTTACAAAATTCATGGAGCACGTAATCATCATATAAAGTATACAGTTCAGTGGTTTTCAATGTACTGTGGTGTTGTACAACCATCCCGTGATCTTATTCCAGATAGTGGCATTTCCATTACCCTAGAAAGAAATCGCGTAACTGTTAGCAGTCACCGCTAATTTCTCCCTTCCATCAGCCCCTGGAAAATGCTGATTTATTCTGTCCCTATGGATTTGCCTATTCTGGATGTTTGATATAAATGAGAGTCATATAACAGGTGACCTTTCGTTTCTGACTTTGACCTAGTATGATATTTGTAAGTTTCATCTACATAGCATGTATTTATGCTTAATTTTTTTTATGGTTTAATAATATTCCGTTTTACGAACATAGCACATTTGTTTATCCATTCATCAGCTGATGAAATTGCTGGGACATACGTTAACTCTGTTTAACTTTTTAAGAAACGACCAAACTGTCTCAACAGCCGCCACACCATTTTACCTTTGACACATTTTACAAAAATGTGTGAGAGTTCCAATATTCCCTTATCTTCACTTCCTTTTCTTTTTTATTATTATTACCGCCATCTCTTTGTGTATGAAGTTGTTTCTCATAGAGGTTTTCATGTGCATTTCTCTAGTGACTAATGATTTTGAGCATCTTTTTATGTGCTTGTTGACCATTGGTCTATCTCTGGAGAACTTCCTATTTAAGTGTTTTGCTTAGGTTTAAATAGGGTGATTAGTGTTTTTATTGGTGAGTAGTAAAATTTCTTTATATAGTCTGAAAAATGGATCCTTACAGATATATGATTTGCAAATATTTTCTCCTATTTGGTAGGTTGTCATTTCATTTTCTTGATAATATCATTTGACACACAAAAGTATTTAATTTTGATGAAATCTTATTTATTAACTTTTGTCCCTTGTAGTTTTGATGTTGTGTCTGAGGAATCATTCAGAGTCACATAGATTTACACCCAGGTTTTCTTAGAATTTTATAGTTTATAAAATATAGTTTTATATTTCAGGCACTGATCCTTTTTGAGCTAATTTTTGTGCATGGTGTCAGACTGGGATCCACATTACTCTTTTGTAGGTAGATATCCAGTTTCCCCAGTACCATTGGTTGAAAAGATATTCTTTCTCCATTGAACTATCTTGGCACTCTTGTTGAATATTGTTTGAACAAAGACATATTGGTTTATTTCTGGACTCTTATTAATTTTATTTCCACTGATCTGTATGCCTATCCTGATTAATGTAGTTTTGTTGTTGAGTTTGAAATCAAGTAGTACAAATCTTTTTATTCTTCTTTCACAAGGTTGCTGAGACTATTGGCAGCTCCTTGCATCTCAGCATGAATTCTGTGTTTAACTTGTCCATTTCTGCAAAAAAGGTAGTTAGAATTTTGATAGGTTTGCATTGGATCTGAAAATCAATTAGGGGGCTATTGCCTTTTGCTGGAGACTGAACTTTTGCATCCTCCCAAAAGTCTTATCTTGAAGTGCTGATTTCCATGTGATGGGATTAGGAGGTAGGGTCTTTGGTAAGTGATTAGGTCATGAGGGTGGAGCCCTCATCCGTGGGATTAGTGCCTTTACAAAAGAGATCACAGAGAGATTTCTTACTCCTCTCACCTGTGAGGATGCAGCAGGATCTGTGTATGTTCCTACTATGGTACTGATCTGTGAATGAGGAACTAGGCTCTCACCAGACACTGCATTTGCTGGCAGCCTGATTTTAGACTTGCTAGTCTCTAAAATTGTGAGGAAAAAAATATTGTTCTTAAGCCACTGATGGTATGGTACTACATTAGAGCATCCTGAATGGGTTGAGACACCATATTAACAACATGACCTTGCCACCCATGACACAGGATATCTTTCCATTTATTTAGGTCTTTGGAAGTTTCACTCAATGTCCCTCTTTCCTTTTTAGTATTCAAGTCTTACACTATTTTTTTGTTTGTTTGTTTAGCAGACCCTGGCCAGGTTCGAACCCACCAACCCCGATGCATAGGGCCAGCACTCTAGCCATTGAGCTATGGGCGCCCAGACCCAAGTCAGATTCCCTTTATCAGGTTGAGATGAGTTCCCTTCTAGTCCTAGTTCATTGAATATTTTTTTAATCATAAAAAAATTTTTGTTTGCTTGCCATTTTTGCTTTTTCTATGCCTCTTGATATCATCATTTTAAAAGTTCTATTAACCAGTTGTATCATATTGACTTTTTATGTGTTGAATTTCTATTTCTGGGTCAAATCCCAGTTGGTAATGTGATATAATTCTTGTCTGCTGCTGGATTTGGTTTGCAACTTTATTCTTGGGGTATATGGATGTATAGTTTATTTTTCATGTGATATGTAGTATCTTCGTCTATTTTCTGGGAAAGTTTATGCCAAATTTTTGTTAATTCTTAAATGTTTGATAGGATTCTGCAGTAAAATCATCTGGGCCTGGAGATTTCTGTTTCAGAGGCTTTTAAATTTAGGGATTCAATTTCTTTATTAGTTATGGGGCCATTCAAGAGATCTTTTTTATATTGAGTGAAATGCAATAATTTGTGCTTTTGGAAGACTTGGTCTGTTTTGCCTCAGATGCCAGATTTATGGGAGTCGAGTCCTTATTATCCTTCAGATGTCTGCAAAGTTCCAGGGACGTCCTTTGTTTCATTCCAGATCTTGTATATTTATGCCATCTCCTTTTTTCTCTTTGTCACTTCTGCTAGAAACTTGTTAGTTTTATTTATTTTTTCAAAGAATGGATTCTTTCTTTCATTGGATTTCTCTACTGTTTTCCTCTTTCAATTTTGATTGTTTGTTTGTTACCATTATTGAAAGTGGGAGTATGGAAGTCTTCAGCTATTACCGTTCAATTGTCTGATTTTACCTTCAGTTCCCTAAACACCTGAATCATGTATCTGGGGGCAATCTGTGGCTGGGAGAATATATGTTTATAAATGTCACATCTCCCTGATGTTTGACCTTTCTTCATGGTCTTCATTGTCTCTAGCAGCAGTTTTTGTCTTCCTGTCTGCTTTGCCTGATATTAGTGTCACCTCTCTAGTCTCTGCTGGCTACATGGCTATTCCTATTCTGTGCTTTTATTTTTAACTTGTGTCTTTGAAACTAAAGAGAGTCTCTTATTGGTAGCAAATTATTGGATCCGTTCTTCTCTTTATTTTGATAATCTCTGCAGTTAAATGTAATTACTAAAAAGAAAAGTCTTCTGCTCTTCTGTTGTCTATTTGTATTGCGTCTATTCCTTTGTCTCCTCCTGCCTGTTTCTCTGTGTTAAATTGATATTTTCCAGTGTACACTTTAACTTTCAGGATGTAACATTTTAATCTGTTTTCTAGTGATTTCTTTAGGGATTGCAATTAACATCTTAATTTTTTTTTAAATCTAATTATTCCTAACTTAGTACCAACTTGATTGTACTAATGTATAAAACATTGTTCCTCTCCTCACCTTATGCTGTTATGTATAAATATGTAAACTCTGTCTTTATATTGTATGCTTATCAATATAGATTTATAATTATTGCTTCATGTTGTCCTCTAAAGCAGCAAAAAGTCAGGTGAAAATATTAAAGTATCAATATATTAAATATATGCTAATATTTTTTAAAAATTACATTTATGTGAATTTCTTTTATATTTACTTACATAGTTATCTTTACCCAAGGCCTTTATTTCTTTGTGTGCACTATCTGTTGCCCTGTCATTTTTAACGTGAAGAACTCCCTTTATTGTTTCCTGTGGGAAATCTCTGCCAGTGATGAGCTTTCTTGCCTTTTATCTGGTCGTGTTTTAATTTCTCCTTTATTGGTTGAAGGATAGTGGTGCTGAACATAGAATTCTTGGACGACAGTTTTTCTTTATTGTTTAAATGTCTCCCTAGCACTTTGAATATGTTATCCCACTCCTGTCTGGTATTCACGATTTCTGATGGGAAATGAGCTGTTTTTTCATGGAGGAGTCCCTTGTATAGCGAGGAGTCATTTTTCTCTTCTTGCTTTTATGATTTGTTCTTCGTCTTTGTAAGCAGGTCTTAGCATTTTGATTATGGTGTGTGTCTGTCTGTCTGTTTCTTTGTGTTCACCCTATTTGGAGCTTTGGGGTTTCATGGAAGTATACATTAATTTTTTTATGAACTTGGGATGCTTTAAGCCATAACTTATGTGAATATTCTTTCTATATCCTTTCTCTTCCCTTCTGAGGTAATTTCATTATCTGTATGTTTGCATGAAAGTGTCCCACACATCTCTAAGAGTTTGTTAATTTTTCTTCACTCTGTATTCTTGCTGTTCCCTATGTTAGGGAACTTTCATTGACCTGTCTTCATGTTCATGATTCTTTTTGTAATGCTTGCTCAAATCTGGCATTTTTCTATCATTTCTATCATTTTTCTATTATACTTTAAAACTTTTGAATTTCTATTTGGCTCACTTT